ATAATCCCGAGTTCGTATCTGCGGCAGGATTTCTCGACTTCGAATTTCACGCGAAGCTGCCGGCTTAAAGCGCCCCGACACGCCACCCAGCCGTCTTCGATCGTGCATCTCCCTTCGACTTCGCCCTCCTATATAAACACTTGGAGAGAGGTAGAACGTCGCGGGGTAGAACGTCGGAATGACGATCTTTCATGGGAAACATAGGTACTTCAATGCCGCGGATTCGAAGCTACCGACGGAATTCCGAAGATCAACAGAACTTAATGAAACATTAATCGAAAACGCGAAGATTAGACACTCGCGAATCTTCCTACAAGTGTCAGAATCACTCAGCGAGCTGTTGAAATCTCCAGATTTAGCGTATTAATAAATATGTCAAGGATAAATATGTCGAAGATTAATTGACTTTAACGATTATTATTTATAAACTAAGAATACTCGTCACACATGTGTCGTTTAGATACAGATTATAAAAATTACCGCGCTTTCATTCTGCATTTTATTCAATAAACAATTTATTTTACACGTGTAATATCAACAAAATAAGAAATAATAAAAAACTTTGAATAAAAAGACGAGAAAAATCAAATCTTTCATCATTCGATAAATGCATTTACAAGAAGAACGTAAGAATAAATCTTCACTGTAGCGATGTAGTCCGTAAATCTATATCACGCGCGTTCTGTTTTCGCCTCTAAAATGTGCAACTATTTTGCGAAGTCACTTTTCGACCAGCTTCGAGTAAATATTGTATCGGAATGGCATGGCGAGAAGAGTATTGCGGTCTCTCGCGGGCAACTTTGTTCGACGTTCGAGTTTCCGGCTCAGGCCATGACTCTTGGTGCAACCGCACGATCTCGTCTGTGGTCACGAGTGGGATCTAAATTAATGGATTGGATACATTTTCTTGTAAACGACAGGAGGACGGACTATTGATCTTAAGAAAATACGTCCGACCCGCGACTCTGCATATTTCATATCGTATCTCTCACTTCTGTCCATTATTTATTGATTCTGATTAAAGTAGAAATGTTAATTTCGATGAAATAATTACGGGAACATAAGATGTTAAAACATCACATTTTCGGATTATTACATTTATATATAATCGCCGCATTTCTTACATTTCATTTGTTTCATTCATTATTGAAGCATATTAGGAACCCTAGAACTCTACTTTGGGAAAGACCCAAAGTGTATCAATTAAATATCGATACTATATATAATTTTACAGAGATTTCTTCTTTATTTCACCGAAATTTACCAGATTTAGTCGAGTTTAATTAATCAACTACCTTCTTTCGCTCTTTCCTCACGATTTATGATGAAACTACTATTTCTAAAAATTTTCAATCATTTTACGTTGGAAATCATTTCGTGAGACGATGTGAAAGTGCTTTCGTTACATTCCGCAAGATATATCTGTACGTAGGATGACGTACATTTTCTCGTGCGTGAGAAGTGAGCATTCTCGTTGGACTTAAAAAGGGCGCTGTCGACTGCTGTCGACCGTGGAATGATTCGACAGTATAGCGTACGGTAATCTGCCGTGTCACGCGGCGCAGGGGAATAGA